CTATTTTAACTATAGACTGAGGTAAAGTCTCCGACATCTCTTTATTACGAATTGTGTTTTTGGACTTTCGCAAGGCATTTGATCTTATTGATCACAACCTGCTATTAGACAACTGTTGTAAAATTGGAGTCAGACCGGGGCTTATTGGCTGGTTGGGGTCATATCTGAGTAAGAGGATGCAAGTGACAAGATTTGGTAACGAACTTTCTACAAGCTGCATGATTAATGGGGGAGTTCCCCAAGGTAGTCGTATTGGTCCAATCGCGTTCGTCGTTCACATTAACGGACTGAAGGCAGTGATAAAAGATACCGAGAGTAGTTTGACTAATTCAAGCAATGATGATAATGATGATGGTGATCATGACCTCACTCTTTTCATGGATGATACAACACTGTCAGAGGTTATTAACGTCCGTGATCATGTCTCGGGTACACAAGTTGGGAGTATGAACAATAATATTATGAAAGTTATGGATTTTGCCACGTCTCAAAAAATGGAGTTGAACCTGAAAAAATGTAAGGAAATGCAGTTAGACTTCCGTCAGAACAAAACAGTTATTCCACCACTAACATTCAATGATACAACGTTGGAAAGGGTTTCCACTTTCAAACTATGGGCTTATGGATTGACGATAATTTAAAGTGGCAAACTAATACTGATTATATAATAGGGAAAGCAGTTAAGCGACTCTTTTTATTAAAAACATTAAAGAAATACGGTGCTGACAAGATTGATATGAAACGGTTTTACATCTCTGCCATCAGGCCGACACTTGAATATGGAGCGCAAGTCTGGCATGGGGGCCTTACTAAAGCACAGAGCAGCAGTATTGAGAAAGTACAAAGAAGGGCTTTGAGAACAATTTATTCCGAAAAAGATTACGAAAAGTTATTGTTGAAAGCTGGAATGCATACGCTTGAACAATGTCGCAATACTATGTGCATTGATCTTATCAGTAAAATGTCTGACCCGCAACACAAACTGCACCATCTTCTTCCTAATAAACTTTGCAAGG